CCACGGGGCTCGGTGGACGGTCCCTCACTGCCCTTCCCTGTGAGGCCACGGGGCTCGGCGGCACTTTGGGCCCTCACTGTCCTCACGGGGCTCGGCGGGACGGTCCCTCACTGCCCTTCCCTGTGAGGGCACAGGGTTCTGTGGCACTTTGGTCCCTCACTGTCCTCACGGGGCTCGGCGCGACGGTCCCTCACTGCCCTTCCCTGTGAGGGCACGGCGGCACTTTGGGCCCTCACTGCCCTTCGTTGTGAGCCCCCCGGGCTCTGCGGCACTTTAAGCCCTCACTGCCCTCACGGGGCTCGGCTGGACGGTCCCTCACTGCCCTCACGGGGCTCGGCTGGACGGTTCCTCACTGCCCTCACGGGGCTCGGGGACGGTCCCTCACTGCTCTTCCCTGGCAGGCCACGGGTCTCGGCGGCACTTTGGGCGAGGGCCGCGACGCGGAGCGGATCGAGCGCATGGAGCCCGTGCGGAACCGGCGCATCAGGGTCACSTTCAATGCCGACACTCACGCCAGCATCCAGTGGAACTTCCGACCGCAGCAGAGCGAGATCTACGTGAGTCAGCGCCTGTCCCCCGCCCCGAGCTGCTGGCATGGCTGGGGGAAGCCTTTAGGATCATCCAGTCCACCTGTATGGCCATTGTAACCACTGCAACCCCGAAACCGCATCCCCCAGTGCCAGRTYCAGGAGCCTCTTGGACACCTCCAGGGATGGTGACTTAACCACCCGGGCAGCTCCTTCCAAAGCCTGCCCAACAGTGAAAAATTTTTCTAATGTTTAATGTGAATCTCCCCTGGCTCATCTTAAGGCCCTTTTCCCTGGTCCTCTCACTAAAGGCAYAGCACAAGAGCCCCATCCCCACCTCCCTACACCCTCCTGGCAGTAGCTCCAAGAGAGCAGTGATTTCCCCTTGAGTCTCCTTGAGACTAAACAACCCCAGCTCCCTCAGATCCTYACAAGATGCTTTCTAGACCTTACACCAGCTTTGTTGCCCTTTGCTGGTCCCAAAGGTGAATTCCCTAGGGTGAAGGCACCAAGTTCTGCCCCAGGCAGTATTTCATGTGCTCATCAGTCCATTGGCATACCATTTCCTGATCTGGAAATAATATGAGGCATGTGAGCRCCTAAACTTGTACTGAGATCTTCTYCTCTTGCCCCTATTCTTTCAGGACTGTTTTTATACTTTAAAAAAMGTCACAAATATTTTAACTTCTCTGTTTCAAATTAGTTCTCAAAATAAAGAGTCTTGCTGCTTAATAATTTCTCAGTCCAGTACTGGAAGAATAACCTCAGAAATTAAATGCACATCATATATAAATGTGCTTATTAAAAAAACGCTTTGTGCTGCTAAGCTGCTGAGAATAATAGAAGATGATTCAGGCAAAATGGGTAAGATTAAAATACGTAGAACAGTATTGRAGCTTTTAATTTTGAATATGGGTGAATTGTATGTAAGCAAAATATTTGTAAAATAACCAATTTGAAACAGCAAAAGAAAAGTAATTCTGCATAAAGTCTAAAGGACTTGGTTGGAGGGGTGGAAGGCTGCAGTGGATTTAAAAGTGTAAAAAGAAAATCACTGTACAATTATGTTACACAGGTGGTACCAGGAGAGACTGCACTGGCATTTTATAAAGCAAAAAATCCTACAGACAAACCAATAATTGGAATCTCCACCTACAAYGTTGTCCCCTTTGAAGCAGGACAGTATTTCAATAAAATACAAGTAAGTGTGAACACAGCAAGGATTGCATTTGCCTTTGCATGAGTGAAAAGTTACCCATGAATTAACTTTCATTTTAATCCTGGACACCATTCTTTGTATACCAACATTTTAAGAAAATACCATGATTTTTTTTCTAAATTATATGAATGCATCGGTTCATTCTTGGCCTTTCTGCCCTCACACTAAGCTGCTCATCCCATCAGAGTAGCTCCAAAATGTGCTATTTAGTACCACTGAGAGCAGGTGGAATGATGTGAGCTGGCCTGCCCCATTGCCACCTTTACACACTTGATTAAAAGATCATTTTTTTTCCTACATCACTATAGGAACAAAATTGTTATCTTGTTGCTCAGCTTTTTGCTCCTTCATGGTATTAAGGGGTGGACAGGGAATGAGAGTTGATTTTAAATGATGAAGGTTTCTCTCATGTTGGCAGAGATAAAGTTTAGCATCACTATTGCTATCTAACTGTGGATTTTTTCSCTCCCCCCTGCAGTGTTTTTGCTTTGAAGAACAGAGGCTAAATCCTCAGGAGGAAGTGGACATGCCTGTCTTTTTCTACATTGACCCAGAGTTTGCAGAGGACCCTAAAATGGCTAAAGTTGATTTGATAACCCTCTCTTACACCTTCTTTGAAGCAAAGGAAGGACAGAAGCTGCCACTTCCTGGATATCAGTAAAGGGCCTTCTCTACAAAATGTGACTTCTGCTACACCTGAGTGCCAGTTTGGAGGCCAGTTTTCCTTSGGAGAAAAAACTGCAGGAGTACCATGCAGAATGAAATTATATTATTAAACCACCAAGGGTACATGTTATTATGAAAGTATATGTAAATATATATTTTTTTTAAAACCAATTTAATGTATCCCTGTTTCTTAGGGAATAGTATTTCTTCTTCATCAGACAGTGGAAGGGAACACACTGTTCATGAAATAGAGAGGGTTTTCTCAGGCCACCTTTTTGTAAGATGTTTTCTGAATACTGTGAGGCAAACTTTGCACCCAAGTGTAAATTAAGATCTTCATGTAARTACAGAAGAAAAAAAATCAGTTGATTAAGCATCTAAAATTCCATTGTTGGCTCCAAAGAATAACTTGCATGTTAAATTACTGTAGAAAAAGGTAAACCCAGATAACAAATTAAGGTAATCTCCTAACTAAACAAAATTAGAATGTATTTGTGTGTGAGTAGAGGAGGATATGATGATTCAGGAGGTGATGCACCCTCTCATGTTATTACTGAATCAGTAGTTTGGTAAGAGCAGACTGCTCTGAAACTTACCATGAGAACAGTAATTTCAGTGTGAGCAGATCAGATGTGTGGGATGGTTTCCCTTTGGAAACCCCATCCTGTTTCCGTGTTGTGTCCCACTCCTTTGSAGGATCTGTGCTGCTAATGAGTGCTCTGGGCACCTTCTCACAGAGACAATTGTGGCTCATGCCTCACATGCTTGGAGGGGAAGGCAGTGCACCGACAGCTGCTCTGAGCTGCAGCTAAATCAACAGAGCAGGAGTCTCCTCAAAACCCCAAATCAGCCCATATGAGTTGGGGAGAGCCCTGTCCAGCAGTGCAGCAACTCTTCAGGGGGACTCCCTGTACCATCAGAACATGTAAGCCTGTATTTATGTCCCTTTTGGTCATTATCAGTGCCTAGCAAACCAGGAGCGAGTTGCAGAGCAAGTTCAAGCAACCTGCTCATTCTCAGACAGAAATTAATCTCAGCCAGGATCTCTYCTGCTAGGCCCGATCTTTCTATCCCTTCCAGCAGAGAAGATCTAATAAAGTAAGGCTAATTTGGTTTGCTTGCACTCTGAAAAGGCAATGGGTACTTCAAAACTCATTTCCAGTTACTTTAGTCTCAATTATATTTGCATAAAATATTTCAAAAGGTGCTTCTTTGAAAAGGAATGGATTACATTTAAAATGTATTATTGTACCAATTACTTGTGATGGTCAAACAGATTCTGAATGACATACAGTTCTTCACTGTATATTAAAGATTGAAAACTTTTCATTCTTTTATCTCTCTAATGCAGTTTATCCAGCAGAATGTGTGCAGCCCACACAAGTGAAATACATCTGTATGAAGATAGCAGCAAGCTTTATGATTCCAGTACGCTTTAGGGAAAAAAAAAGTAACATCAAGACAAATCTCTGAATCCAAGCTAGGGAAAAAAATTCTTACCTCAGTTGTCCTTAGTCCATTGTCCTTCTGAAAGCTGAACTGATCATGGCAGTTCTCCACCCATTGCTTTATTCTGCCATGCTCTTCAGAAGAAAAAAAGTAACTCCCTGGCAAGTGGCAGTTCCATAAAAATGTGGGTTTTCCCCCTGAGTTTGAAAGCCCAAATTTGCACAGATGCTGAGCCCATTCCCTCTGTAACACAGGCTCTGTAACCTCTGTAATTGCCAGTTCTCTTCCACCTATCTGTGACCACTCTCCTGCTGTAAACACGGAGAGGTTCTGTCAGCAATCACCCTTTATGGATTTCACTGAACAGCCCAGTTCAATTTGTTCCCCTTTGCTGGGGGGGTTCTGCCAAAACAACTCAGCTGTAGGGGAAAAAAAAATCAATCCACCTCAAATCCTATTTTTGGCTGTTTTCTTAGGCTGCTGTCTAGGCCACTGCAAATAAGCAAGAAAAATTAAGAGTAGAGCAACTCAATCTTAAACCTCATCTTAAAAAACCCCATACTTTTTCAAGGTTGTGTTTTGGGTGGAAGCAAGTTTTTCTATTGTTGCTGCAGCAAACTGCAGAGTGGCTGACTATGCAATGAGACCCCAGGGAATCACACTGAAATACTTCCAGTGCTACCTGCATTTGGTGTTTTAGGGAATACACAAATARGGAAAAATGTGTAAGTGACGGGAGTTTACTTCTCAGTAAGCATTTGCTTTTATTTGGCATTTTATGCTACAAAAGTTGCAAAACCAGCTGAGAACTTATCCCTTTAAGAGTTAACATAAGGAATGTTTAAAATGTAATATTTCACAAAAAATTAGCTTATCTGCTATGAACATGAACTAAGTTCTCAAATTTTATRTCAGCTATAAGTTCAGAGAACTATACCTGTTAAAGTGCACAGTTACATTCAGCATTAAAATAGATAAGGCACTTATTAAAAGATAAAACKGTTATTAACAGGGTTAAACAACCTAATTAAAATAAATGGGTAACTATTGCTCATCTGCATTGTAGATGATAAATTTTTCCTTCACCAGAACAATCTCTGCAGGGCAGGAACATTGAAAGAAATAATTGATCCCCCCCTTCCAATATTTACTGAGTAAATAAAAGCAACAACAACAGAGGAACAAGCAGGTTTTTTTTTCCTGTTCTGTTAATTATGGATGATGACAGCACCTCGTGTGCTAGCTTAGGCTCTTCCCAAGACAAAAACCCTACAGTACTGTGGGTTTTTAGGAAGAAAATAAAGATGGAAAATCTGTATTAAGAATATGGATGTAGGAAAGTAACACTGCGWGTCTTCAGACATCTATYAAAGAGGCCCAATTTCAGAAAAAAWYCCTGTATTATCAAAMYCCCCYTAGAGATTTCTAGGGAGATGAACACAGACAGCAATGAGGGCAAAACTGGATTCTGCACTTTCTGTGAATGTAAAGTCTGTTTTTTTTTAATGTGCCAGGTGTCAAGTGTTAYTTCATAGGTGAATTTGGATGTCACATTTTCAAGGCCCCCCAAACACTTTAAAATAACCATGCAAGTGACCTTGAAGAATACCCAGCTGAACATTTAGGACAAATTGTCAGTGTGTAGAACCAAGTAACTCTTCAACTTGCACACATCTTAGTACTCCAACGCTAATTATCCGTTGTGTCAAAATGCAAAGCCTCTTCTGTTATTCACTTGTAGTTACAGGAAGCACTGCACAGGACCAGCACCAGAGARGAATGTGCTCAGGAAAGGATTCCCCCTCCACCTTCAGTCTKTGTTCTTCTTCACTTCTGCCTTCAGCACAACATCRATTTCTTCATAAACAGCTCTGAAAGAGGAGGAGCGGGGTGATTCCCACACCACATTTCATCTGGACAAAAGGCACCAGGGGAAATCCTGACCCAAGTTTCCAGTGTAGCTTCCCTTGCAGGATGCCCAGRTTTCCATGGAAACACAGAGCCCAGCCTGTGCTGCTGCTCAGATTCTACATTTAATGAGGTAACTCTGGCCATTGTCAGTTCTGATCAAACAAGTTTGGGAACAGAACTGARGAGAGCAAATGGCAAGTGCTCCACTGTGCAATTACTGCACTAATTAAAAAAAAAAAAACAACAACAACAATGAAAGCTTTGTTGAGATTTCCCTATCTCAAAATTCAATGGTTCCTTGGAAATAAGTTTTGTATAGGTAGCTTATTTTTTTTGCAATTTATGGAGAGTTCTGCCATTCCTTAAGCTTTGTATTAGTTTACTGTGTCACTATTTTGCCCTCTGGAGAGTCCCAGCGTCCATTCCCTTTTGTAGTTTATATTTAAATTGAGATTTTTTTTTTCTGTGCAGTAGAAAAATATTCTTCAAAAAAACCCATGATTGCTGTGGACAGGAATTCCTTTGGTTACCTTATTCCACAACTACCTGTGCTGAAGTTCACTCAGTTCCCTCCAGAAGAACCCTTACCATATTTCCTTCACCCTTCTGTATCACTGAACTGGATTTTAGTAGATTTTGACACAGCATTACCCCTCTATTTTTACAGATGCCAGTTAACGAGCACACTATTTTATTCCTTAATTGGTTGTGCCAGAAATACTGGAAAAAAAGGTACAAAATGCAGGTACTGTCCTTTACTCCAATAACCCAGTGGATCAGTTAACCCAGCCTAAGTGGAGTGGTCTGTTTATCCTCTAAGGAAAAAAAAAGCCATTTTGCCTTTGCCACCTAGAATTTTAAAATTCTATTTTAAAATTTACTCACTCAGTAGGAGCCAAGGGATCAAATTCCATTATCTCGTAATAATGAGACGACTGTGACTTGTTCTTTGATGCAGCTGAAGAATCAAGACAGGCAGATCCATCCAGATTTAAAGGAGAATAAAAGAATGATTACTGCAGGTTATTTTTTTTGTGTCTTCCTGAACATAGCCCATTACCTGCTACGGATTCAGCTGCTTAAAATGCTAAAATGGACAAGCATACAAGAGAATCCATGAGCAGTATGACTTTGTCTATATTTGTGGCTGCTCCTGGTCACTGACAGACTTTATGGAAAGGCCTAAAGTTCTTTTATAAGAACTTTTCAAGTTTCTCTTACAAGAAAAATACAGCCCCATGGAAGAAGAGATTTGCAGTGTTTATTACCTGCTGGTGAYGGTCCATTTGGCACAGCTTGCAGATTTATGGGGTTCAGAGGCACTGGGCTTAGGAGAGTCACCAGCTAAGGACACCAAGCAAAACAAAGCATGAACAGATTGTCCTATGAGAACTGCTTTGACCCAGCTTATGTAACTGCTGACTTATCTTTAAACTCTCTGACTACTGCAGGTTAAATTCCAAGGCCAAAGGTTAGCAACCCAATTAATCTTCCTTCTCCACAGAAACTTCAAAGCAACTTTTAGTGTTCTCCAGCATATTTGTATCATTTACTTCTGTGTGATTTGTTAGACTACATAGGATCAAACTGTGCTTTTCTTTGCAGTTGAAAATAAGGAGCGTGCATGTCTGTTTGGGAGCTGCTTCTCATCTTTTCTATTTCATTTTTCTATTTAATATTTTTATTTCACACTGCCTTCATAACATTACCTCAAAGCCYCTTCATATTCTTTCCATTCCTTCTATCATGGGTGTTGCTCTGTAGCATGACATTTTTCCTGCACTCTACTTGGGGTTTAAGTGTTTGGTATTTTTGGTGGGCTGTGTTTTTGTGGATGCTTTTGGTTATTTTTTTTTGTATGTTTGTTTGTTTTTAATGTCTTGTTTGAGATCAAAAATACACCAAAGTAACATAATGGCAACAGGAGGAGATCTCAGCTTGCTCCACACAGCAACAAATTAAACAGAAATAACAGAACACAAATAACAAAACAAATAATTTGCTTTGTGCAAATTCCCCTGGGATTGTGCTGGACCCAAGGAAATAGGCTTCCCCATTAGGATGTGTGGAGTAAAGAGCAAAGCTGACCTGTTCACTGAGTAAAATGATGTTTACTGAGTTTCCTGATGTATGGAGAAGGGCCACAGAACTGATCTTTGCATCCCACAGGGACAGCAGTTGGGGTAAATCCCAGCAGTGCTCATTTGACAGCTGCCAGACCAGAATGACCACCCTGAACATGAGTGTTACTCACATTGCTGTACGTGTGTCCAGCTGGGCTGCTGACACCGCTGTGTTGTGCTTCAGCTGCAAATCTAGGAAAGAGCAACACATTGAAAGTTAAAAAACAATCAAAATTGTTTATTCTGATTGTTCCATTGTGCTCTTACTGGCCTGTCCTGTGTGTCACAACTGAGAGCAGTATGGCAGGGAATTACAAGGACACCTCTCCCGTCTTAAATTCAATTTTTTTTCTGACCTGTTCCGTGTTTCTCTGACCTGTTCCTTTTTTCTCTGACCTGTTCCATGCTCCTTCCTTTCCCTGCATGAAGTCAGGTATATTTATGTCTGTTTATGACTAAACAGTGCTGCAGGAGGAAGAGCATTTTGAACCCTCTTAAGCCATGTCTTGCACAGAAGAAATTTTCACTTGTTTTGCTGGACTAACATATAAAAGTAGTAAATCTGTGTCCTCAGGGCTTCTGATATTCAGTAGATGAATTAGATCTGTTCTCCATTCCCACTCCTTGATAAGAGACTACTCACAGGGATTGATGAGCTTTTGGAGGAGCTGCTGAATCCAGCTGTGGGTAAATTGATGGATGAGGCCTGGTTTTATCTTCAGGGTGTGCAGATATGCCATCTGAAATTCAAAGCCATAATYAATGATGATTTCAACATTATTATGCAAAAGGAGCTACTTGTACTTTGAACACTGAAAGAGTGAAGTTTTGTTTGGAGGGCCTATAAAGARTCTGAAATGAATTGCTGTTTATCACATGAAAGGCAAAATTTTAATGACTCTGGAAAGTCTTAAATCCAAGATATTTATCTCTCTATTTACAGCATCAGCAGAGCTCTACATGGTAGACACCACTTAAAACTCTTTTCACTATTAGTAAAATATTAAAATGGAATTCCAGGCATTTATTCCCAGGGGACATTCAAAGAAATTAATACAAAACAGAGCATGTTCTACTGCTCAAATTTATGAAATGATGAAAAATATTATTGCAAATTAATTCCAGGGAACCTAGACTACCTTACATTTTCATTCTTATTGACACATATCAATCCTCCTTTTAGAAAAATTTAAGGAACATCCTTAAAGTTAAGGAGCACCTTTGCYTTCTTTCTTACAAGGAACTTCTAGATTCCTCCGTGAGCTCTTGTGGGATTGTTTTAGGGAAGCAGAGTGGGAGGGAAAGGGGCATTCAGCACTTACTGGGGCCTGAAGGAGACACTGCAGGGTCACTTTGCACCACTGCTGACACAGGAGATGGAGAATCTATGGACAGGCCAAGGAGATCACTTGAGGGAGCAGATGGCTGCTTCCTGTACAGCTTAACATTTGAAAAAGAATAAATTATTTTGGGGTGTTCTTGGTGGTTTGTTGTTTTTTTTTAAGGAACTTGCATAGTTTTAAACAAAGTACTGTTTTCACAAAATATAAACTTTCAAAATCTTAATATCAAAAACTGGCAAGTATGAGAGAGAATCATGAGTTGATGTGTGTGAAATATGCTAATGAAACAGTATATGTGTTGCAGAAATAATCCATTTAAAAAATAAAAAAAATAAACTAATTCTGAAGCAGAAGATAAAAAGAACTCAATTCTATAAAGCCATTCTGAACTTACACACAGGTTTGATATTGATCTTGTGATTGATCCTGCACAATTTTCGTGCTACTTATTTGTCTTAATGAGATTTGATACAGAYTTAGAGGAGTGATTATTTTCAGTCCCATTTTGGATAGGAAAAARTTAAAAATCATGGTAATGTTTCCTAGGACATCAAAAAGAGTTCCTTTCCTTTCTCCCGTGAATGTGTTGGAATTAAAAATGCAGCCAAACCARAGGTTTAATAAAAACACATGACTGATTCATACAGGTTTGGTCACASCAGATGAAAAATAAAGAAATAAAAGATAATGTATTTCAGACTCAGAGCCTCCTTAATAAYATAAAAATGCACAGACTGCACCATTTGGGCTATTAACTACTCCAACAGTGCATCCATCAAACAAAACCATCCACCTACACAACCAGAATGGAGTAACAGTGGCTTTTCAAGGAAAACAAGATCATCTTCTACCTCTTTTTAATAATTGCCAGCAGTATTTCAGCATTCACAGTGCATTTTCATGTCGAGTCCTAGACGACTGCACAATTATGGCTCAGCAGAAGCTGAAACATGTGCAAAACTACTTTGGGCAAWATAATTAACAACCGTAATTATCAATCAATAAAGCATGGTCATTAAAGATTTGCCACAAGCCATTATTCACGATTCAGAAAAAGCTTTGACTCAGGAAAAAAAAGCCAYGGGCAACAGCGAATTCTCACAGTGCAACAGTATTTCAGTCTCTACATGCTTAACTGAGAACAAATGAACAGAGAACCTATGGTTTCTCATTTTGTGTATGGCAGATAATTGTGCTTAGCTGGAGAGGCAATAAACCAGCATTTGAATAGATCTCTCCCTCATTTTTCTTGCCCAAGCTTCCCTCTTAGATTTGACATTATTTGCTACTTCAGTTCCATAAATTTGTATGAAATTCTGCCTGTGAGGTTTCTAAAAAAACACCAAGAGTAGTGTCAGTGTGTTGTCTCCTCTCAACTAAAGAAATAAAATTCTGCCTGGATCAGAAGTGCATTTTTCACAAGGAAAAGCAAAAGGAATGTCTGCAGTCCTGCAGGTCAGGAGTTCATGCAGAATTACCTCCTCCCGCTCCCGCTGTATCCTCTGGTTCTCCAGAAAACGAACTCTGTTCCGGGAGAACCTGTCGGAGGTGCAGAGTTAAATGTTCATTCTTACACTCCTGTGATGTCCTTCAGAAGAACATGAAACCAGTTATAACCAAAGGCTGAGTCTCAAAAGGCTCCAGAGACACCAAACAAGCACTGCAGGGGCTGTCCCTGGGGCAATTCCCTTTTTAGGGGTGATCTGACTCGTTCCAGGGCTGGTCCTGGGGTCTCCTACACCAACAGAAGCTGGCTCACATTTGGGACAGCCACCTGTTTGTTCCTGACTCAAACCTAATCTCCCCAGATTTGTAATTATGGACACCCACTGTGCCAAACCTGGCCCCTTCTGACCAGAACACYCTCCCAGCTAATCCAAGGAATCCTTCAGAGCTCACTGCTCTCCCTCATGTCATCCCAGGACAAACCACACGCCTCTGCTGGCACACAGCCCTCTCATTAGGGCAGGCCTTTGAAATCACTTTTTTAAAAAATGGAAACAAACAAAAAAAAAATCTGTATAAATCTGCATCAATGGGTGTGTGCTAGGAGTGACAGCAGTGCTGCTGTGGCTCCAGAGTGACCCAGGCAGGTGACATTCACATCCAGAAGGTCACTGTGTGCCAGCACCAGCAGCTCTGAGTGCTGTGGACAGGGGATTGTTCATCCAACTGCATTTGCTATTCAGAGTCAGTGAATGAGAGAGGCCAAGGAAGAGATCACAGCTGCATGGAAAAAACAGCAGGAAAAACCTTTCCAAGTGCAGAACGCAGAGGTTTAATCTGAAATCCAGGGAGAACCAAGAAGCTGCAGACACTAGAGGGAGGCACTATTACACACACGAGCTGTTGCTGCACAGCCCACATCGCTCCAGATTAAATTTGGATTCTGTGTTGATAACAGAAACAGAGAATGCAGCAGGACCCATCCTCAGACAGCACACAGAGCGTGGAACAGCTGCAGCTCGCTGAAATCAGCTGACCTTTACACATCTCATTGCTCACAGGGAGACCCAAAGAATAAATCTTCTGCAACACCAAAATTAACCAGGTATATTTTCATAATTATCCTCAAAAGTGCAATGGGATCTGCACCCAGGAAGATCTTTTAATATCAATCATAACATTACAGCACTAGAATATAATCATTTTCCGCCCAAACTAATCACTCCTTCCATCACCATGTCKTTAGTGAGGAATCTGCTGAATTCTACCCACAAGCTCCACAGTTCGAGGCTCCCAACCTCACCAATTTTCATCAGTTGTAGCAAAAATCTAAGTCTGCACCTGATACAGTGGGTTTATACAAAAGCTGAACAGAATTCCCTTTTTGCTTATTCAAATGAAAAACTTCCTAAAGGGGGATGTGAGCACACAGTTCTGTCATGGCAGCTGCTGTAAAATACACCAAGACTACTGCAGACAGAAGACTTAAGGGTAAATGAAAGTAAATGTTGTCGAGATTAGGCCCAAAGTTTGTGCCATGACACTTAGAAGAATTAGGGATATTTTCAGAGCAGCACTCAGGAAAGGATTAAAAAAAAGATGACTAAATTCTATAAATTGCCTAAATTTRATAAAGAACAATTGCACTTGATACATAATGATTCCTAGAACATTTTTAGCCATGGAAGAGATCAACTACTTAAGATGGAAGAGTATCTCCTATGAAACCAGAGCACTCTCCATCAGAATACTCATGCAATATTTTGGGGAACAACTCTGCAATTTTGAGTCAAAAATTRTTCCAGCTTTGCCAGCACCCAGGCACGYTYCCAGTGCCATAACAAACACCCAGGRTGTCAAAGGAGCRCTGCTKTGCTTTCATGTGTGCAAGAAAGGGACATTTTCTGCTGTCAGACAAGCAGAACAGCRTGTTTCCAGCCAGCTGAGAACAGTGAGCAGGGAGGCAAAAAGCAGCTCCCATGGCCCATTCCYGCAGTAAAGCTGTCAAAGCTGTTTAGAAAGCAGGACAAGTTTTCTTTCCTGGAAGCACAGACACTTAACTGAGATAAGGACCATCACCAGCACCAATGGGCTTGTAGCAGCTGTTGACAAATTCGCTGGGCACGACCGAAAAGGGATGTCAAATTCCAAAACCATTTTTGTTTGTGTGCCTCCAGCTGATTTCCTGCCTGTGCTGTTAACTTGCTTTATTCCACTCCAGTGGTTTTCCATCTACCTTCCTGAACCATTTCTGAAGTGTTTAGCAGGCAGCAAATACATAATTTTCTCTTTTGGCAATGTTTCTTTTCTGAATTTAGGGATAAAATCAATCTCTGTGGGGAGGACCAACACTAGGCATGGGGCCCATGTCTCCATTAAATTCATTTATTCAGGCAGGGCTCCAAATTTGAGGGGAGAGGCCCTGCCCTTACCTYTCATGTCCCAGGAGGACATTATTGAGATCTTCATTTACTTGGATCAGCTCAACAATCACATCTTCATTCTCCACTGTCACCAACAACTCCATGATCCTCTCCTGCATCATCCGGCACGTCTTGTACAGTTTCTGCCCATGACAAAGGTGAAAAAAATATAAAAAATCACAACTGTGGTCTCTCAATTTGTCACTTCTGGACATGAATGATACACTCAAGCACTGCAGAGTCCCAGGTAACATTCCTTAATTCACACAAACCCCAAAGGTACCAAACCATTCTGAACACAACAATGGCCACATCTCCAATCTCTGCATGCAGGGGCACAACTCCCACCTCCMATCACTCCTGTCCATCCCCCACCTTCATTTCTGAAGAGATAGCTGCCTCTAAAGCCTAAATTACAAATTGCAAAATAACAAAGGCCCCTCTGGGTGATGCAGAGCCGRCGTGATTTGATCCTGCTTGAAGCTGATTAAACTCAGCAGGATACTTGGATGTAATCCTGTTCAACGTCTGCTTGAGGAAAAGGCAATATTAGTCTGAAGGTCAGATTGCTCTGTGACAGAGTCTCCAGCTCTAAATATTCCTCTAAATGGGAAGCCTGGATAAACTTGATCTATGGATTTTTGAGAAAGCAACACAAACCTTACAGAATCAGAGTTTGTTAAGCAGAATTTTGCATTACTGCCTGGTGAAGTGGAAGGCAGTCTGTTTATATCACTGCCCTCTGCAGATTTTGCATGTTCAAAGAAACAAATTCTTTAGCAACAGGAGCTTTAACTCAGCCAACATTTTTTTCCCCTCACACTGCATTTACAAATGGGTCTGCTTAAGGAAAAAAGAAGAAAAAAAAARRRGGGGAAAGTGRCTCTATTTGCACACTGCTATTCAGAAATTGTTCTGATATTCAAAATGATCTGATTTTTCCTCAAAAAATACTTCAGATAAATAAAGTATTGATATAAGAAGAAATTTTGCACCCTTTTTTCAACTCTGTGTCAGGATTGTAAAGTGCCGTACTTTTCAGTACTGTCATAGCCCAGGATAAAACATGAAAGAATGTATTCAAGCTTAATGTCTAATTCCATTTAAAACCTCTCTGACTTCACATTTTACTGACTGATCCACATTTAAAAAAATGTGTATTTCTTATTACACAGGCAGACTGCACCCTCTGCAAGTGTCAATAACAGARAAGGAAATTGAGACTTTCCAGGATTTGCCTGAAAACAGGAGTTTCACAAGGATGGAGCAGCAGCTGGAATAACAATCATCAGTGATTCCAGTGCATTTGTTCTCATTCTCACCAGCTGCTGATCTGGACCCAAATTCCTGCACGTCCATCCAGCACAAAAGTTTGTCACCCTAATCCTGAGCTATTCTTTAACTACTGTTATTGGCCAGCACATGATTTCCAGTGACATCTGATATCTTAAACCTTGTCCAAAACAGGGTGGGGAAAGGGAGGAGCCTGGCCACTAATGAGGACAGAACTGAAAACACATTGCACTGATCAACTTTACCCCATCAGAGTTTTCACTGAGGGACTCCAGGTAATCTGAAGGACTGAAATCCACGTCTCCAACTCACTCCAAGCCTGAACAAACAGCTCTTTTAATAAAGGATTTTGTTCTGTGACAGCAAAAGCCCAATCCAGGCAATCCAGGTGGTGCCACAAACAAAAGGGAACAATAAACATTGTTCAAGGCACAGGCTGGCCATGCCTGGYGTTTGACAGCACTCGGTGCACAGGGGAGAAAGAACGGAAAGAACAACAGKGAAAGGAATGAGTTTTCATTCGCTCTCCCACATATGGGAGCTCCACACCCTGTCCTCAACCTTTTGCCAACAATTTTATTACTGGGAGTGTCAATAAGAATCCACTGGTTCACTGTGGGCAGCTGAATCCGTGCACCCACGTGCARAAGTGCCACGGCAGGAGGCAGGAAACAAAAGAAAAACTTTTCCTGTTTGCCAGCAGGATTGGACTGAGGTGGCCCAAGCACATCAAACCACTGAGGGCTCATTGGAAAGGAAAATTTCTACAYTGGGCAGAAAAAGTGCACTCAAACTTGAAAAATTTACATCAATTCTCCAAACATTTCAAGCTGTAAAATTGCCAAAAATGCTTCCTCCCTGTAGCAGTCTGGAGGTGAGGTTACAAACAGGAGGATGGGGTAAAAGCTTTTGAAGTTCTTGCAGACAATATGAAATGGAAAAGCCTCCCTTACACAGGTCACTATTGCAACAGTAATTTCATTAAAATTTTAATAAAAAATACGTAAGTAAAGCAACGCTGTACTTTTAATAAAATATTGCACAAAGAAATAATAATATCACAGAAGGGCCATGCACAGGCTCACTGTCACATCCAGCCTGCACTTCTGCACTTCACTCCTCCAGCCTCTGAGGTCACACTCATAAAATAAAATAAAATGAAATAGAATAGAATAGAATAAAAACGATTAAAATAAAATAAAAAAAAAATAAAACCAGTGCTTCATGCTCCTGCTGGCCCTCAATCTGCCTCAGAGGGGCTGCTGCTGATGAACAGAGCTCAGTGAGCTGCAGGATGGATGTAAGAATGAGACACTGTCATCATCTCCTCTCCCACAAGGCACCTGCGTTCAGCTGGAATGTTCTCGGGGCTGTTTGACAGAACACGCTCGGCAGAGAACGCTCCATTATGAAATTCCTTTGCCCTTGGAATTCCCTAGAGCTTCAATTTGCATTGCAAGTTCTGTTGTCCTTTCCTGACTATCGAGATGTCAAGGCAAGGTGAAGGAGGCGAAAGAAAGCTGAGCAAAACCAGAGGCAGGAACCTGCTGCTGGGTTCAATTTGTTCATCTGAATCCAGATGTTAAAAGAAAATMCATAACTTCTTCTAAAATCTACTACAACCCAGCCAATGAATTACCAKGTACCTGTAAAAGATTCATATCATCTGGATTTTCAGATCCAGGAACGTTTTCCTTCAAAATTGACGACATGACTCTCACGTTCATTTTTGCCATATCCAGCTCGCTGTACAGTTTCCCAATCTGTTGGAATTCAACAGCAGAATAATTCTTACCTCTAATACACGCTTTCTTCCACATTAGGTATAATATGGGCTTAATTAGCATTATTTAAATCTGGTAACATGCCATGAAAATGAATGGAATTAGTTCAGCTTTTATATGTGCAATCAGACTGAGATCCAAGGCTGATAGCACCACTTGTTTTCCTTACAGTTAATCCCTGTCACTGATGGATGCTCCTCCTTTTATTTACCTACAGGGCAAGCAGGAATGGAAGAGAACTATCCTTCCCTTTCTGCTTTTTATAATAACCCTTCACACAACCTTTATGTAAAAGTGATTTGGCTTTCTTATCTCTGAAGCAGCTTTTATCARTCTGCACAACAGCACTGCAAGATGYGATTGGRTATTYAAACACTTGAGCAGATGATTCTCCAAATCCAAGCCCAGGAACCCAGAGGCACCCCCTGTGAACCCTCCAGGGCTGCTCAAATCACAAATTCCAGGTTCACCCACCCTCCCCAAACCTGCACCTGCTCCGGGGTCAGCAACAGCGTCGGGCCCGTGGGAAGAGGCAGAAAGGAACGTTTGGCAGGAATGGCAGAGGAGGGGGATGACTTTGCAGAAGAGCAGGGTGAAATCTGTGAAAAGATAAAAAAAAAAAGAGAGCTTGGGTTGGACAAAACTGCAGCAGGCATCCTGCTGGGAGAGGAGCATTTCTGARATGAGACAACTGGGCAGGAGCGTCCTCATCATCAGTGCTCCCAGGGAAYTTGTTGAGAAAGGCTTATTTGCAAAAATAAATCTAATGGCTGTTTTGTAATGAAATGAGGAAATCAGGTATGTTCAGAAAGGGTTTGCAAGGAGCTTTTAAACCAACTAACAGCCAAGAGTCCTTCCCAAAGTGCCACTGACTTCAGCACTGAAGGACAGTCCAGAATGTGATCCCACTTGGAGCAGCAGAAGGGCTGGGGCTGATCTGGGTCCCTGAAGAGAGGGAACCATAAAAACCCTACAAAAGCCTCCTGCATTGGAGAGCAGGAACACCCTGAGAAAGCTTCACCTGCACTGCATCTGAACTGCTGAAAAAAAATGCAAATGTAAACCTCAGCCTGCACTACACACTGCAAACCCTCCAGTTCCTGGAGATTGAGGCAAAATCTGTGTGCAGGCCTGCTGGGACAAACAGAAGGTTTGCTGCTGATTTTAACGGGCAGCTACATGAGGCAGACAAAATAATCTCTACTGCACAAGGTGTAGAAAAAAAATCAGTATTTATTGAGAGCATTCTTCAAACAGTTTGTTCAAACAACCCTGAAACACATAAGGTTTTGTGCATTTCACTGTTCAGCCAGCACAGCACATTCAGGATAAATCTGAATTATTCCAGTCTGCACTGATTATAGACACCTAATTCTGTAATTGCAAGGTTCCAGCCAGTGGTGGATGGCTTTCAYACTGCCCAAAGCTTCTGGGAAAATTCTTCCAATAGGAAAAATAAAATGGCACTAAACCATGTGTTGTATTTTCAGCTGATGTACAATGCTCAAGCCATCCTTTATATTTAATGTTCCAAATGCCACACAACACTACCTGTGGCACAGGCTTAAATAACCCTTACTGTGGATGGACTGTGCCAAGCTGGAGAGATATTCAGMCAATCTTTTCTTATAGATTTCTACATCTCTCAATTTAATCTTAAAGATAGATGGTGCTCATATGCTGAAMAGTACGTGTTTTTGTGAAAACCTTAACTCATTTTTGTTGAGGCTTTCAGAAGCTGACAAGTTTGGAGCTCTAAGCACTCATTTATTTTGAAGTAAAGAGCATGCACAAATCTTTGAAAGTCTCCAGACAGAGATGCTTCATTTCTGAGAACAGACCCATGAATCTGTGCATGGAAATAAAATAAACTACTATATAGGTCAGGTTTCTTTGTTGTTATCTTAGCTGTTATAATTGAAACTGATTCCTGCTCACGTGCTTAAGCAGCTTCGTCATAKTCTGCCCTGGGGCATTTAAATAAAAAAACTCAGCTCAAACACGCCTTCTGTGTCCCACACAATTAACAATCCCATTTCTGGAGTATATTCCTGGTATATCCTCACCTTAGATCCACCACTGCTGGTGTCAGAGGATGGAAACTCCACTCCTTTCTTCAGCAATTCCAGGTAAACTTCTTTCACTTCAGTCACGTCCACCATCCCTCGAAAACCTCGCGCCCAAACCTGATTTTTGAAACACCAACAACAGCAGCAGCCACAGAAATGGTCAGTCAGAGGGTCAGAGAAATGATTTTAAAACATGTGAGAGAGGGAATTCCCTCTTTCCACTCTGGATAACTCCATCCCTGAGCAGGAACCACAACAGCTCCACAGTCAGGGTGTGCTTGGGGAAGATTTCCCAGAGTTTAAACAGCTGCACCATCAGAATTCCCCACACAGCACAGACACTGAACACTCAGAACTCACTGCAGACTCACCATGATGAAGGTCAGGATTTTCTCCTGCATCTCCATGGGCAGGTTGTACCTCGGGTTCAGCAGTTTCACCAGCTTGTCCTTGCAGAAATCCTTCTTCACAACCAAAGACTGGAACCTCGGGCCACAGTTCTCCATGCACATCTCAAGCAGCTGCACACACAAAAAACCTTCTGTTACAGAGAGCAGGGGGAAAAAATACCCAAACAACTTGACTGCTTTTGTTYCCTYTGGTTTAATTTGTTTTAAGGAGTTATGGGGAAGAGTAGGGATGGATATGAATGGATTATTGCTGACTGGAATGCCTGAGGAGCTCCCTGTGTGCTCTCTTACACCTCTAATACACACTTAGCTTTGGCTTTTACACCTGCACAGCCCAAAGGAGGCCTTTGTGACACTATTTTCAGCCAGGGTGACACTATTTCCAGCCACAGTGACATTATTTTTAACAGAGCAGCGTGGTCACACTTGTCTCCACGTCTTACTGAACACACCGTACCTTAACAGCAGGAAATCTGCCCATGGCTTAAAAAAAAATCCTGTACAGATTCAGTAGAATTAATTCACTGCCTAGCACACAGGTACCCTGGTCTGACAGATTCTGAAGAGCTCTGCAAGGGGAGGAAATCAGATTACTGAATGCCTGTCCTCTMATCTGCACTGTAAGTGAGAGACTGATGGTAAAACAGGGAAGAACAAATTCACCAAGTCGGAGGCACCGTCTCTCCATGCATTTCAAAGGTCACTTTGATTTGAAACAGAGCAGCTGAAATGCTCCAATTTGTCAGATTCATCTTCATGAGGGAAATCTGCTTCCAAAACCCTGAAATCTGCTTCCAAAACCCTGAAATCTGCTTCCAAAACCCTGCTTGAAATGCTCAGAGCAAGCACCGTGAGTGCCCTGTGGAACAGCAGGATGGGGAGAGGGGAAAAGAAAACACCTCTCCCTTGTGCATCTGGAGGTGGCTGATTGCAGCTCCCAGTTTTGCAGAAGAGGTGCCCAAAAATGCCTTTCCATCCCAGGAAATTGGGGTTGGTCAGACCAGGTGCAGAAYTGGGGACAGAGCTCATCTTGCCTGGCCCAAATCTGGAGGTGGATGATGACCCACAGAGGGAAAAATGGTCACTCTGGTCCTTCTCTCTTCAACTGCAGCTTCATTTTCCTCCCATCATAAAAGGGGAGACACAGAGGTGAAAGCAAAGGGCTGACATGAAAAAAAAAGCTGCAAAATTTCAGGTGTTTTGAGGCAAAACTTMCCCTGAATCACGTAACAGACAGGACATATTCTCAAAAGGATACACATATTTTAATGGATGATATTGTGATCTTGATAAAAGTAGGTTAAATATACTTTCCTGTTCAGAGCAGACTACATTTGACTAAGTGAAATCATTTTAGTAACTCATTTTCTAGCCTCAGGAMCTGGGGATTTTTCTCTCAGTGAGATCAGGATTTTGCAGGAGAACAGGTTTAAGACCAGAAGAAAATATATTGTCAAAATGAAAACAGGGCAGAACAAAGAGACACTAGCAGACTGCTGTGCAGAAAACTAACTGAAAGATAATTACAAAAAAAAACCAAAAAAACCAAACTTGGCTCGAAACATTATTTTTCATAGAGAGTACATGAAACATATGCTAATAAGCCAAGTCATTTGCCTGTGCAGCACTTCAAAGATGGTCTGTTGTAAAATATTTTCAACCCAGTGCATGGGAAATCTGTTATGCTGCTCCCTATTATTAATTCCCTACTTAAGGGGCTGAGTATTTACCCGCTGAATGAAAGCTCTGAACTAATGGTCTGGATCYTCCACTCAATTATGCCAGCCCAGCCCACTCACTCAGGGTAAAACTGAGCTGCTGTGAGAAAAAGGAGAATTTGACTCAATTATTTTTAGCTGGGCTATTCATGAACAAGACACTTTCATGCTAATAATACCTTTCATTAGAGTTTTAATATGGGTATTTATGGTGCAAACAGGGCTCCAGTGGAAGGAGAATTTCACCATCCCAGGCACTTCCACTGGAAGGAAAGAACAGATCCAAGCTGGCCAAGGAAACCTCTGCTCCACAGAGGACAATGGAAACCCAGTGGAGATATGTTTTAGTAACAAAACTGGCAAATTAACTTCAATCAAAAATTAATTTCAATCAATTAAACTTCCTGTTAGTGACAAACAGGATGTGAGAGGTGTTGGAATTGAAAGAGCTGCTGTGTTCCAGGCACTGAGCAAAAAGTGGGGCACCACTGGGTAATCCAAACCCTGGGGTTCACARGACTGAACCCCAAAACTGAAATGATAAAAGGATCTGTACAGAGGTGAGGCCAAACTGGGAGGCAGGAACAAAAAAGGGAGAGGTTGGTKAGCAGAGCAGAAAGTCAACAATATTCCTTATCAATAGAAACTTCACTCAGGATTCAGGAGGACTCGGAATTCAGGAGATACAGAATTCAGGAAGACACAAAATTCAGGAGAATTCAGATTCTAGGAGAACTCAGAATTCAGGAGGACACAGAATTTAGGAGGACACAGAATTCAGGAAGACACAGAATTCAGGAGAATTCAGATTCTAGGAGGACTCAGAATTCAGGAGGACTCAGAATTCAGGAGGACACAGAATTTAGGAGGACTCAGAATTCAGGAGGACTCAATTCAGGAGAATTCAGATTCTAGGAGGACTCAGAATTCAGGAGATTCAGAATTCAGGACTCCCTCATCTAAAGCAGCCAGCTTTGGTCCACAAAGCTGAGCAAGGGGTGCACCTTGTGATCATTTCCCAGACCTAAGGTGGCCGCAGGAAAACCCAGATGAACASTTTGCTTCTCCTCATTTCTGACTCAGGGGGAGCAGCCCATTAATCCATCCCAGGATTACACTCCACTGAACCTCCTGATGTCTGCCCTGCTGTTTGCAAGTGCAAGATGCTTTTTCCAAGGGCAGCATTTAAACCAAACCGGTATGAGCAGCTCTTTGAGCTGCCACTCACCCATGACACTGCAGGACCTGGGTGTATTCGATGGAGATTCAGCATTTCAAAAACACCAAATTGTCAGAAATCTTGAATTTTTCAGATTTTACATCTCAAACATTGAAATTTGGATTTTTTTTGCTTCCACTCCATGACCTCTTGCTTTCCTCTTTGTCAACATATACCATAAAGCAAAATAAAATTGAGTAATGCTCTTTCAATTGTGGAGCTGGAGGACTCTCTCATGCTTTTRTTTTTCAGATCCTCAGTTTTGCCAAATGTTAATTTAACCAATCTGAAGGTCACATTTGCCATGCTAAATTTTTGCTGCGCTGGGAAAATTACACCAGAAATTAATCCAGAAGATGAAAAAGAAAAGCAGAAATATTCTTGGGGGGAAAAAAACCTTCCAAAATTTAAATGTAAGCAATGATGGTTTGAGCTGGAATGGACCCTAAAGACAACTGGTTCCCATCCCCTGCCATTCACTGGATCAGCTTGCAAAGGGCCACATCCAACCTGGAYTTGAACTATTCCAGGGATGGCGCAGCCATGATTTCTCTGGGAAAATGACTTCTTTTAAGATATTTTCCAACAARGTGACACAGAAATGAAACAACAATTCAATTTTAAATTTCTGCCCCGCTTTGAATGCAGCAGTGAGAGGGACACATTCCATAAACTATTCCCCCATGTGCTGCTCAGTTCCTAAGACCTTACAGGAAACAGAACTGAGGCACTGCAGCAAATGCTTTTTTTTAACCTAAAAAACCAAGTTTTCCCCAAAACCAAGGGATCCATGGAGGCAACTGAACAGCTGCCTCAGCGCTCATTACATGAACAGAATTCACATATCCAAAGTCTACCAGCAATAAAAACTCAAGTAACACACACACAGAGCATGTTGGATCGCTGCCTGAAAGCTCTAATCCTCTTCCCTCTTGCACAAGCTGCAGTGCCAGCCTGATCTCTCGGCGTTATCAAAGGCTGGGCATGAGGCAATGCCAGAGCCTGACACAAAAACACCTCCATCCACGTGAGCACAGGGCTCACAGAGCTCCCAGAGCTCACAGAGACAGCACATGGCCCTGCTGGCACTCACCCCTCTTCCTCCAAGTGCACAAAGAAGCACCCAGGAGCCAGCAGGAGGAGGGCACTGGGGATTTAACTCATCTCAGGAACAGAATCARGGCTGACACGTGCAGGGAGCTGCCTCCAGGAACACTTCCACACGCCACTATCCTTAGGGAATAAGCTCCTTAAGCAGCTCCATTAGAAATATTAAATTCTAGGGTGTCAGGCTTGAGTAGATGGAAGYGGATCAAAGTGCATCTCAAAGGAAATGTGGTCTGTAGACCCTTTTTAGTTTTATCTAATACAGGTMGGAGAGACAAGCTGATGTCTCAAAAGTTGGCAGAGTCAAAAAGTCTCAAAAGCAGAGTCTCAAAAGCTGGAGGATCACATTTACTATAAGAAATACAGGCACTAACAGCCCTTATTTTTGCAAAACTCTAGGAGGAAAACAAATTTCAAGAGATGAGAGTTGCACAGGGAGGGAAGGGYTTGTGCTTCAGGAATTGAAAATTGTTTCTGTTTTTTCCATTTGCAATTATTTGCTGTTGTAATCGAAGCATTTCAAAATGGGAAACAATTTCATTAAGGCAATTAAGGAGATAAAAACAGGAAGATACAGCACACAGGAAGAGTGATTTGGGAAAGAGGGTAAAAGCCACACGTGGCCAGCAATGAGGTCACCAAAGGAAAGGTTTTACGCATGTTAAAATTATGGTTAAAAAAAAAAAAACAGAAAAAGGAAAGAAGCCAGGGGCAGAGGGAGAGGCAAAGCATGAAAGATCTTACGTGAGAACTAAAGCCAGAGAGAGACAGAGACAGTTGGGAAAGGCTGGAACTTATTTAAATAAAACAAAGGAAACAAGATTAAGGAGGACAGGGAGCTGGGCCAAGAGGATGTCACTCCTGGCAGGAGAGTTACAGGTGTGCATGGAGTGGGTGAGCACAGGGAAAGGGGCTGGAGCAGCACAGGGACTGCACTCCCAGCTGAGCCTGCTGCTCCATCTGCAGCACAAGGAGCTTCCAGGCTGGGGTGGGAAAGCTCCTCCTTGGATACTCCCAGAGAAASACCCTTCTCACACTTTTATGTACTCAAAATCCAAGCTGCAATGTCACCTTGGCTATATCTGCTCTGTAAACACCCAAGGAACAGCTCCTAAAGCTGAACCCTGCATTATCAGCAGAGACTGTGGCAGTTCACCAGAACAGGAGCTCGAGCTCAGGGGCTGCAGGGGACAGAACTGACCCAGGGGACAGAGCTGACCCAGGGACAGAACTGACCCAGGACACAGAGCTGACCCAGGGGACAGAGCTGACCAGGGACAGAGCTGACACAGGGACAGAGCTGACCCAAGGGACAGAGCTGACCAGGGTACAGGGCTGACACAGGGACAGAGCTGACACAGGGACAGAGCTGACCAGGGGACAGAGCTGACCCAAGGGACAGAGCTGACCCAAGGGACAGAGCTGACCCAGGACACAAAGCTGACCCAGGACACAAAGCTGACCCAAGGGACAGAGCTGACCCAGGACACAAAGCTGACCCAGGACACAAAGCTGACCCAAGGGACAGAGCTGACCAGGGTACAGGGCTGACCCAGGACACAGAACTGACTTAGGACACAGAGCTGACCCAGGGGCTGCAGGCACAGTGGAAACCCAGCGTTTCCATCATGCAAACACAAAAACACGACTCGTGAGACAGCAAAGGAAGGAGCTGGGGAAGAAGTGCGGCGATGGAGTGAGCTGAAGGTCTACACTGAAATGTTTAACACAATTATCTGCACCTCCAGCTCGTCAGGAGGMACTTGGGCAATGCTGAGCGACCCACAATTTGGCACTATCCATCAGCCATCTTCCTGAATCACCTCACAGCACATGCTGATAATGATTTTGCACAACAAATACCAAACCCGTGAGTAACAGCGCTCACAGTGATGCAGACAGGCCTCTAAAGCCTCAAAAAAGGAAGTGGCAAAGAAAATACCYTTAGACAATTATTGGAAGATGAAAATACTCAACAACTTAAAATATGAAAGCTATGATTCTTGTCATAGTTGCAGTGTTGGTAGAAAAGAGTAATCCAAGTCAGAAACTCAGGATTTGGGACAATATTAGAACTTTGTGCATTAGAATTGTCCAGTAAATGTTACATTGACTGAAATCACAACATCTCCCCAAACTCTGGGGCAGTTGAGGAACACTGGCAGATCCTGGAGGTGTGTCAAGTGAGGATATTCCCAGACACTCCAACCTTTAGCCATAACATTTGAGTTCCATACAGCTCATGCTGCCTCTCATTCCCTTGCTTAAGTCACCAGGGTTGCCTTTTCCCTCGAGTTTATCACTCAGATGTGATAACATTTCCTTTTACCAAGCAGATATCACACATTTCACCAGGCTGTGTGCTCGGTTTGACTGAGATCAGCAGCACAAGGTGAGTAATGGAATGGTTAAATGTAGGTTTTATGTAATGTCCCAAAGTCTGTGTCATTCACAAACAGGTGGGGCACTCACAGAGGGACAGGCACCACAGCAAACAYGAACTGTGCTCCTTTTACACGGAACAAGTTTCAAAAAATTATCCCCAAACCAGAATTTGCATCATCCAGGAGCCCATGGAATGCCAGCAAACCATCTGATCTGCACTGTGGCAGCGCTGTACACACACAAACAACAAAGACTGAAAACATCCTGGAGAGTTGTGTCAGGGGTAATTTGCATGCCACCTTATCGTTTAGAATGTTTGCCTTCTTAGTGTCTAATTAATATAAACATAGCTGTACTCACAGACAAGGTAAGCCTGATCTCCTTATGGTTACAGTTTTTTGAAAGCTTCTTCTTCAGGGCTTTAACTGCATCTTTAGGCCTGTGACAAGAAATTAAGGAGGAGAAGTTACCAGTGAAGTTTTCCAGTTCATAACTTCATCCAAGAGCCAAAAATACCAGCCTGGGATATGGGAGAAAAYCCATCCCCTGTATTTACACCCACATAAAACCAGAGCAATTGCCCCATTGATTCCAGCAAAATCTCTTCAGCACTGAACTAGAGCAACAAAGCAGTGAATCAGGTTTGGGACTGCAGACTGCATTGCTCCAGGGACTTGTGCAGAGTAATAAAACCACTCTCCTCTGCAAAGTCTGCTCCAAAATGTTATTTTTCCACTGTTTTACAATAGAATTATTTATCTAGCTTTTATTGCAGTGAAAAGAGAATATCAATTGCAGGCTGTACCAAGAGCTGACTGGTATTTTTCATGTATGATGCAATTAGGAAATATTCTCCTGGGAGCAGGGGTGTCATGGATAACTTCCAACCTTATAATTGCAGGATGCACTTAACTCATCCGAGTAATTACCGTGGAKGGATGGACAACCCATTCCAGCCCCRAGATAGGGGCATTTCTAACCCAGCCATTTTCATTTCTATATATACACCCCGTATCTTTGAACTATCTGTGTGGGAGGAAAAGRGTGGGAGATGGGCTCGAGCTGATCACACGTGGGAAGCAGTTTGGCCTCGTTAATATGGACTATCTYGAGTGTACAATTATTAGGGCCAGCCCAACACTCATGATCAACATAAACAAGATGTCCTAACGTCTCTTTGGGATCTCTCTAGAATCTAAGGTGGGGCAACAGGCACAAATACAGTGTTTAAATAAGATATATTGGTTGAAAACATTTTGAAGTCAATGAAATTAAAATGGGTGTTTACCATTAATGCATTTCTCATTTAGAAGTTCTGTACTTCATGAGAAAAAAAAATGGAGATATATCTTGATTTTTCTTAATCCTCTGTCATACCCAGGCACATCAGTAGAGCTGATACTCTACTGTACACACCATACCCACCACATCAAGTGATGGATGGGAGCACAAGAGCAGGGAAGAAAMGTTTCCCTTGCAGAAAGCTGCACTACAATTCCACTCCTGCTTTGCTTCCCCTGCTGAAGCATCTGGAAGCGCTCTGGTCAGGAGCTGGATAYTGCATTAAAAGAACCATTTGCCTAATGAGATGCAGCAGTTCTGCTGTTCCTGGTATCCTGTTACAGACTCTGACTAGGACTGGCTGCCTTGAAGGAAGTTACAAGGAGTTCCCTCTGCAAGCCTAAGCTGTGCACAGGAGGAAGCAGTTTATTGAAAAAAGGCTCTGTTGCATGGAAACTTTACATAAAAACTAACAGCAAGGGTCAGAGCGTGCTGTTGCTTATGGCAATAAGCAGAAGGAAGTCATTATTACTGACATTCCAAGCACTGAGAGCCACGGGTGAGAGTGTGGAATCCAAAACAATGAGAGGAAAGAAAAGCTGAGACAGAAGAAAAGACACCTGTGCAGAAAGCAAAGCCATACCTCAGCGTCCTGGAGACAGCTCTTCAGCTGATGTTAAAACCAATGCTAGAAGTGAGTTCTTGCMGTGCAATGCTGGAGCAGATCTTACATGAGAACAAGTTTCCTTTATTTCCCCTTTGGCAGGTGGGAATGGGAAGCTCAGAGCAGGAGGGGGGGGTGAGCAAAACTGGATGTGGCTGTTCAGTGCAAGAGGCCACCTCTGTCCTGGGAGCCCTGGGAGCTCACCGGGATGGGATGGATCCCTCTGCAAGGATCCCTGATCACCCAGATCCCACTGCACAGGATCACAGCTCACCGGGATGGGATGGATCTCTCTGAAAGGGTCCCTGCTCACCCCGATCCCTCTGCACAGGGATCCATCTTCACCCCCGCTGCGGCACAGCCTGGCACAGCCGCTGCACGGGGGGGATCTCCAAGGCAAAATCCCAGAGTTTTAAACAGCGCTGGAGGCACCCAAATGCTCCAAGCCCTTTTCCAGGCGCCTTTGCACAGCACAGGGGTGCCCGCTCAGCCCGACGAGCACTGCGGGTTGCACAAAACACCCCAAACTCAGGTGAGAATTTTGTCTACCGCATGTCCACGGGTCAGAACCTCCGAGTGCAAGCCCTAAAAGCCCCGATGGCCCCGCGACAGGCGAAGCTTTCCCCTGGGAACCAAAGCTATTCTCTCCTCTCTCCGTTTCGTTTCGGGTCACTCGCTCCAGCGCTCCGCTCGCTGCCGCCCTGCCCCGGAGCGCTCTGCTCGCTGCCACCCCCGCTGCCCCCGGGCCCTGCTCACCCCTCCTCGGTGGCGTTGATCACATCGCAGATGTGCAGGAATTGTCCCCACTCCTCCGTCTGCAGCGATCCGAGCGTCGCCCGCTCTGCAAGGCCAAGGGGAGCGGCGGTCAGAGCCCGGCGGGCACAGGAGGGTGGCGAGCGGGCTCGGCCCGGGGCTACTCACCGACCAGGCTGCCCACGGCCGTGCCGAACGGGTCCCGAGGAGCCTTCCCGAAAGCCATGGCCGCTGCCGGCAGCGTCCCGCGGGCTCTGCGGGGCCACAGCCCCGGATCCGGCCGCTCCCTCCCGCCCCGCCGGGCGCTCCCTTCCTGCGCCGGGGCGGGGCCGCTGCAGGTGCGGCCGAGAGC